CACACTTTGAATGACAATTGCGCGGTCATACAACACTGTACCTAAACTAAAATTTTATCATTTTCTTCACACAACTAGAGCTTTCTTTTGGTGGTATTTAAGCAACACTGGGGTTTTTATTTTTTTGCTAAATAAAAAAAGACCGAACATTTTGAAAAAAAAAAAAAACTAATTTTTCTTTTTCTGTTATAAAAGTTTGCAAATAAAAAATTGTTCTTCATAAATTTAGGCCAAGATGTGTTCTACTACATGTCTTTGGTGAAAATAACCCAAATTAGGATGTATTATTTAGTTTGAAGGAAAGTTATAGAGTTCACAAACTATGGTATAGATCTGAATATTGATCAATCCTGAAGTACTGACAGCCAATCTAATTTCTTGAGGTCTAAGAATGTCAGAACAGTACAGATACCTTCTAAATGACCCCTTTTTCCAAAGTAGACAGTCCAACGTATTTCATAAGAGGCATGGTGAGTTTTTTGAAGTTGTAATTTTTTTGTCATAATTTTTCGGAAAATGAAAAAATTAACAAAAATTATTTTCACTATTTTTTTTACATACTGTCACCAGTGCAGTACAGCGTCATCATATAACTGGCATGGTGGTGATCAGGGACACTGACTGGTGACAATATGGAAAAAAAAAATTTTTTTCTTTTTATTTTTGTATTAGTTTTAATTTTTTATTACATTTTTTTTTTTTAAGATTTTTTTTCATATTTCACTATGACCAAAGTAGTATAATGTTACCATAGTAATATTGTACTACTTTGGGGAAGTGATCAGTATTTATTTATTTTTTTTTACATAATTTGCTTATAGCAAAAAATTACTTTGCTATAAGCAAGCATTTACTTGAATGACATTGATTCATTCAGGGGGTTTTTTTTGTGCTTATCTGCGATTTGGCCACGGCTAATCACATGACACAGCTGGGCTGTGATTAGCCCAGCTTGTGCATGTGATCCCTGTGACCATTCTAGACACACTAGTATACAATGGATGGCATGAAAGGAAGCCATCCATTGTATACAACTGTCATGTGACCTGCTGTACAGATCTTTGGAATCCAGTGCAAAAACGTTTTTAACTGAAGGACTTAAAATGGACCTTCACTCTCTCAGTCAACACTATTTTTTTTTTCTTCATGCTGCTAGTCTTAGTAAATAGATAGGAAAGTATATCATATTTACTTGTTTTGAGCTCTTTTTTACATTTATGTCATACATTTCAGGAGGGGAGGAGGGGTTTTCTCAGCTAAACACACTCTCCTGCCTGCATGCCCTTAGCGGCAGGGATGGGAGAGTATGCTTTGAATATTAAAAATTATTCCAGGACAAATTACTGCACTTTATTTGGGGTGCTAGGAGTCACAGAGTACAACGTCAAACGCAATACACTTTACGAGTGTACATCTTTTTCACAACTTGGAATGCCCTAGCCTGAAAATTATGGCCTGCAGCAAATTCTCCATTTTATCCACTCCTTACAATGGAATACCACTGACATTACCACACAGACAGCTTTTTAAAGCAGATGTTTCTGTGGCGAGGTTTAGAAGGGGAGGGCATCTCGAGTCTGTATAAATTGTATATTTCCACATCAAGTAAACTCCTCTATATGCTTGGTAAAAATATATAGTGCAGCGCTGTAATATAAGTACATAAAACCCCCCTCTGATGATGTGCCGTAGCAAGAAAGGCCTCAGGAGGAGCCAACAGCACGTGTGACTTTCTGCACCGCCGTGACCACGAGGAGGTCCGGCGGCTCCTTATTGTGCCGGGTCAGTACAAGTTTATTTCATCCCTCTGTCCACTTAAGTGCTGGCAGTGTGATTTTTTGTATGTACCCCTGGCTGTTATTTTACTTCTTGCTTGTGACCAAATAAATCTGATCAAACCTACTACACCATTGGCACTCCCTCTCTGTTTTTGACCCTCTCTCTGAGGGTTTCAGATCTACAGCAGCTGGTTCCTATTGCATCTTGTATCCAGGAGAGGGAGCTCATCCACCTTCATGCATTGGTTGTGAGTGCTCTCTAAACCTTGCTGCATGCCACTACACCCAAGGCTGATGATCCACCTGGGAGGGATGATCCGTAGGTCCGTGTGTCTGGCAGATTACCTGGATAGATGGTCATATACATGCGCATATTTAATGCGCGGTCGGTGAGTGCGCATTTTATCTATACGGTTCTAGTCACCTATTTGATATAGAGGAGATTTTCACATCAAGTTTTCTGCAATCCATTCACGCTCATGAAGAATTTATGAACTTAATGCTTATTTGGTTTTATGTACTTATATTACAGCACTGCACTATATATTTTTACCATTTATGTTATGAGGTCTAGTGATTCCTTGGAGTGTTCTAGCAGCTGATTTTGTGAGTGCTCGCTATATCCGTTTTCTATTTTCCTGTATATGCTTGCCTGAGAAAGAGACATGGGCAAGGAGGTGGGCGAGGAGGGCCGGAGAGACTGGACTCTTAGAATACATAAAGGCATTATGAATGTCTCCATCATAGAGGCAGGCTATACAGTCCTCTCTTGTTGGTATTTGGTCCCAGACCGATTGTCAAGAATGTACCCTGGCTTCTCCTCACTTTGTTTTGGAGGATGTGGGCAAGTGGGAACAATGTATGGTGTACATGCCCTAAAGTTAGAAGGTACTGGATAGGAGTTAATTCCCTGATCTTCACAGTGACCATAATTAATGTCCTAAAAAAAACCTAGAACTGCGCTGCTTAATGAACCAATAGCTGGAGTTTTCAGATCCGCTCAGACTCTAATCTATTTCATGTTCCTGGCAGCCAAAATTGCAATTGCAACTGCCTGGGAGAGTCCAGACTTAGCGTTGATGAAATATAAACTTTCGTGGATTCTGATCAAGGAGGAAATGGTCAGCATCCTACATGCTACCTCTGCCAGGTTTGAGTAGAGTCTGGAATCTGGATTAGTTACCTACAGACTCCATCTTAATAACAATTTCTCTTTCCTGGAATGGGCGGGCCTGTCATGTGGGTGGATTATGTCTCTCCTTTTGCTTTCCTTCTCTCACTCCCTATTCCTCTATTCATTTATGACTTGTGTAGTACTCTGTTCTTCTTGTGCCTGATACATAGTGGAGCAGATTTCGGGCTCTAGTGCATTTGGGCTGCTCCTCTAGAGTCAGCATTTATATCCCTTTTGTTCCTGTTGTTGACCTATGCTAGTACTTCCCTTTCTTTCGAGGGTGGATTGGGATTCTTGGTCTTGCTACACATACTTTACATGTTGTTAATATAAGTATTATATACTTATATGTCATTTTTGTGTATCGCCTGCGTTGCAAGCTCTATATGGCATGGCCATCAAGGGCCTTTGGCTATATCATTACCTATTCACATGTTAATTTTCAGTAAAAACATTGAAACAGAAAAATTAAATAAATAGCATTTCCAGTTTGCTCAGTGCTCAGCAGCAATGTAGTTCCACATTAAGGTGGCACTTTACCCACCTACGTGCCATACGCAATACACTGTCAAGGAGCTCCATGCCTGGCTGCTGACATCTTCGGGCAGCCGGTTTCTGGGTCCGGAAGCCAGCCACTGTCATTGGCCAGGTGAAGAAGAGTTCAGTTCGGCACTGGTAAATTTGTAGAGTGAACTGCTCTTGTGCAGCTCACTGTACAGGGGCGGGCAGGTAGGTAGCTTTTATGCAGAAGAGACAAAGTATGTCTCTTCTGCATTAAAATTTCTGCCTGTTCACCCTTTTTTTTAACTGCTACCCACCTGTATGACGTCATATGACATCCTGGACTTTGAGCGGAGATATCTGAATGAGGACTGCAGCTACAGGCATCATCTACATATCTTTATTTTTCAGCCAACAATTCCCTCTATAGTAAAAGGTAACCTAGCAGCGGATTAGCTACTAGATTGCTTTTACAGGCAATGAAATGGGACATCCCCCCCTCCCGCCACCCAATTTCTCCTCTCCGTGATCTCGCATGCGATCGGGGTGCCAAAGAACTGATCCTGTGACAGCACCAGTTTACTGTAGAGCTGCCCGTGGACCCGATGGTCCCTGGCTATCTCTTTGTTCCTGGGAGGCCGGAAGTGACATCATGACATCACTTCCAGCTCTGGAAGATGTAAACACTGCCATTTTCTCTCCATAAAGAGGATCTGTCATGCCTTATTCCTATTACAAGGGACGTTTACAATCCTTGTAATAAGAATAAAAGTAATAAAAATAAGTTAAAGGAAAAGTGTAAAAATAAAATTAAAAATAAAATAAATATTTAAAGCACCTCTGTCCCCTCATGCTTGCATGCAGCAGCAAACACATTCATAGGTCGCGCATGCATATGTAAAAAGTGTTCAAACCATACATGTGAGGTATCTCTGTGAACAATAATTCTAGTGCAAGACCTTCTAAACTCTAAACTGGTAACCTGTAAAAAGTTTAAAATTGTCGCCTATGGAGATTTTTAAGTACCAAAGTTTGGCGCCATTCCACGAGTGTGTGCAGTTTTAAAACGCGACATGTTTGGTATCTATTTACTTGGTGTAAATACAGTGTGACGTAAAAAATTGCAATGACCACCATTTTATTCTCTAGGGTCTCTGCTAAAAAAATTATATATAATATTTGGGGGCTGTGAGTAATTTTCTAGCAAAAAAAATTATGATTTTATATGTAGGAGAGAAATGCCAGATTTGGCCTGGGTGGTAGTAAAGTAGTACATTTAAGCTATATTTCCACTTTACCTGCTAGGATGTTGTATTTTTTAAAATTATTTTAAAAAATGGAAAAAAAATGAGGTGATCTATTCTTAACCGCTAGCCTACAGGGCACTTATACCCCCTTCCTGCCCAGGCCAATTTCCAGCTTTCAGCACTGTCGCACTTTGAGTGACAATTGCGTGGTCATGCAACACTGTACCCATATGAAATTTTTATTTTTTGTGACAGATAGAGCTTTATTTTGGTGGTATTTAATCACCTATGGGTTTTTTTTTATTTTTATCTTAAACAAACCAAAAACCACTGAAAATTTTGAAAAAAAAAGAAGTTTTTTTCTTAGTTTTTGTCATAAAATTTAGTAAATAAGTGATTTTTCTCCTTCACTGATATGCGCTAATGAGGCTTCAGTGGTGAGCACTGATAGGCTGCACTGATGGACACTGACAGGCATCACTGATGGGCACTGAAAGGCAGTACTGATACATGGCACTGATAGGCAGCACTGATTGGCGGCACTGACTGGCTCTGATAGGTGGCACTGATTGGCAGCATTGATAGGTGGCACTGACTGGCATTGATGGGTGACACTGAAAGGCAGCTCAGATGGGCACTGATATGTGGCATTGATGTGCACGGGTAGGCACTGATATGTGGCATTGATGTGGCACTGATGGACACTGACAGGTGGCACTGCTGGGGCTACACTGATCATCGGGGCTACACTGATCATCAGGGCACACTGATCATCAGTGCCCTGATGATCAGTGTACATGTCCCCTCCGCGGAAAGCCGATTACCGGCTCTCCTCTCCTCTCGAGCTGTCAGCGTGGCAGCTCGAGAGGAGTGAAATGCCGATAACCGACATTTCCCTGTTTACATGTGATCAGCTGTGATTGGACACAGCTGATCACATGACCGAGCTGACATCTTCAGCTCTTTCCATGATCGGTGATCCTCTGTGTTCGAGGGACACAGCGCACCGCCGATCGCCGCGCTGCGCACTCCCTGAGCCGCGCATGCGTGGTGAGAATGGGAGGACGTCATATGACGTCCTCCCAGAACAAGAGAACCACCTTGTGCCCGTCGTTGGACTATATGGCGGGCGGGAGGTGGTTAAAGTGGTATTAACCACTTGCCCTCCAGAGGATTTACCTGCCTTAATGACCAGGCTTTTTTTTTGCTATTCGGCACTGCACTATTTCAACTGGTAATTGTGTGGTCCTGCAACAAAATTTATGTCCTTTTTTTCACATAAATAGAGCTTTCTTTCAGTGGTATTTGATCACCTGTGCGCTTTTTATTTTTTGTGCTATAAACAAAAAAAGACCAAAAATTTTGAAAAAAAAATATTTTTTACTTTCGGCTATAAAAAATATATAGTAAACTCAAAGTTAGTGATAAATTTAGGCCAAAATTTATTCTGCCACTTGGTAAAAAAATCCCAATAAGTGTATTTTGATTGCTTTGTGTGAACGTTATAGCACTTACAAACTATAGTATAGATACTGCAATTTACGCAATTTAGCTATACAGCGCTGCACTAGTTTAACTAACAATTGCGCAGTCATTAAATTCTATACATAAATGAAATTTATGTCCTTTTTTCACACAAATAGAGCTTTATTTTGGTGCTTTTTGATCACCTGTACACTTTTTATTTTTAAAAGAGACCAAAAAGTTTGAAAAAAAATTATATTTTTCTAATTTCTGTCATAAAAAATATCCCAAAAACTCAAATTTCATCATAAATTTAGGCCAAAATGTATTCTGCTGCATGTTTTTGGTAAAAAAAATTCCAAGAAGTGTATATTGATTGCTTTGTGTGAAAGGTATAGCATCTGAAAACTATGGTATAAATAACGTAATTTACACAGCTTTTACTTTCTGACTGCCTATCACTTTTCTTGAGGTGTTAAAATACCAGGACAGTACAATACACTCCCAAATGACGCCTTTTTGGAAAGTAGACACCCTAAGCTATCTGCTCAGAGGCATATTGAGTCTATGGAAGATTTATTTTTTTTACACAAGTTTTTGGAAAATGACAAAAACATTTTTTTTTTTTTACACAAAGTTGTCACTTAAATGATATATTGCTCACACAAGCCTTGGGTATATGTGGAATTACACCTAAAAATACATTCTGCTACTTCTACCGAGTATGTGGATACAACATGTATGAGACTTTTTGGGAGCCTATCCCATATCCAGGAGCCTGAAATCCAATTACCACTTTGAAAATCTGAAGGTGCATAACTTTCTCATTTCACTTCCTCACTACCTATCACAGTTTCGGAGGCCCTGAAATGCCAGGATAGCACCAAACCCCCCAATATGACCCTTTTTTGAAAAGTAGACACCCCAAGGAATTTAAAAAGATGCATGGTGAGTATTTTGCAGATCTAATTTTTTCTTACAAGGTTTCGAAATATAAAAAAAAGAAGAAAAAAAATGTTTCTCTTTTCTTTCTTCATTTTCTAAAAACTTGTGGCAACAAACAAGATCTGCAAAATACTCACAATGCTTCTTATCAAATTCCTTGGGGTGTCTACTTTCCAAAAAGAAGCCATTTGGGGGAATTTGGTGCTATCTTGGCATTTCAGAGTGTCCAAAACTGTGATAGGTAGTCAGGAAGTGTTATAAGGAAATAAAGCCCTTTAAAAGTCTAGAGGTGCTTATTGGATTTTGGGGTCCTGTACTTGGATAGACTGCCAAAAAGTCTCCCACATGTGGTATGCCAATACTCAGGAGAAGTAGCAGAATGTATTTTGGGTAGAAATTTTTTTTCTTTTTTTGTCATTTTCCAAAAACCTGTGGTAAAAAAAATTAATAATTTTATTGACTCAACATGCCTCTCAGCAAATAGCTTGGGGTGTCTACTTTCCAAAGTGGGGTGATTTTGGGGGGTGAGGGCATTTTATGCCCAGCATTAGAAGTTTATGCCACACATCACTCACTCTAACCACCTGGAGACCAAGCCTTTTCTGACACTTTTTGTTCACATGAGCAAAATCTGTATTTTTGCTAGGAAATTACTTTAAAACCCCCAAACATTATATATTTTTTAAAGCAGACACACTAAGTGAATAAAATGGTGAGTGCTGCAATTTTTTATGTCACATAGTACTCGTGCAGAGATTTTTCAAACACAAATTTTGTGAAAAAAAATGATTTAATGCACAAAAATACAAAATATTGGCCAATTATTTGGTAACTTATAAAAGATGATGCTATGCTGAGTAAATAGATACCAAACATGAGATACTTTAAAACTGTGCATGCCCTGTGCAATGGCGACAAACTGCATACGTTTTTAACATCCATAGGCAACGCTTTAAAAGCCTTTACAAGCTACCATTTTAGATTTACAGAGGAGGTCTAGTGCTAGAATTACTACCCTTGATCTCACGTTCATGCGATACCTCACATGCATGGTGCAACTGCTGTTTACATGCTGCACAGGGTCAACTCTTGCGCACGCAGCTGTGCACGCATGTGTGGGGCGAGGGTACTTTTTTTATTAAAGTTATTTTGATTTTTTTAATTATTTGTACACTGTCCCTTTTCATTTTTTGTTTTAACACTTTTAGTGCTATCACAGGGAATTCAAAAATCCTCTATAACTTCAATTGGCATTGTCATATATTCTTTTTTGAGAAATCTGGGGTCTATCAGACTCTAGATATCTCCTCTTCCCTTACATTATCTAATCTCACCAAGATCGTTGTGATCAGATGCTTTCCCAATTTACAAATGGTGCTTATTAAATCCTGCGAAACTGAAGTGATGAAATGCTAGTAGCTTCCGATTTCTTAGACCATAGAGATGATTGGCACCATTACGGTCTCCAATCAGCTCTATGGTCAGCTGGCAGAAACACCGGCTGCATTCTCAGGTTCTCACAGGACTGCCCAAGAAGGCCGTGGAAGGCAGCGGGGGAGGGGGGGCATCTTCTCCCGCTGCTTGTAAAAGCAATCCTGCCACTAATTAGCCACTAGCATTGCTTTTACATGAAATCCCATCGCCGACTGAAAAAACCGATATGAAGATGATGCCTGCAGCAGAAATCTCTGCCAGAAAAAGTGTGTGGTATGCCCACCATTAGAATATACCTCCCTGCATCCACCTACTTCTAATGGTGGGCACACATGAAATGTGCCAATATTATAAAATATATATATGCAGAAGCATAGGGGCCATCCACCCACTGGCCACCCCAGGCTCCCATGCTTCAACATATATGCTCTTTTTTTTAACTGTGGATGCAAAATCTCAACCAACAGCACTGCACACACCTACTTACAGTCATGGCCGAAATTGGTTGGCACCCTTGATATTTCTCCAGGAAATCATGTATTTCTCACGAAACGTATTGCATTAACACATGTTTTGCTATACACATGTTTTATTCCCTTTGAGAAAGCAAATTCGACATAATGTCACACAAACCTCCAAAAATGGGCTGGACAAAAGTATTGGCACCCTTTCACAACTGCGGATAAATAAGAATGTTACAAGCATGTGATGCTCCTGTAAACTCACCTGGGGCAAGTAACAGGTGTGGGCAATATAGAAATCACACCTGAAAGCAGATAAAAAGGAGAGACGTTCACTTAACCTTTGCATTGTGTGTCTGTCTGTGCCACACTAAGCATGGACAACAGAAAGAGGAGACGAGAACTGTCTGAGGACCTGAGAACCAAAATTGTGGCAAAATATCAACAATCTCAAGGTTACAAGTCCATCTCCAGAGAACTAGATTTGCCTTTGTCCACAGTGCGCAACATTATCAAGAAGTTTGCAACCCATGGCACTGTAGCTAATCTCCCTGGTCGTGGATGGATGAGGAAAATTGATGAAAGATTGCAACGCAGAATAGTCCGGATGGTGGATAAGCAGCCCCAAACATGTTCCAAAGACATTCAAGCTGTCCTGCAGGCTCAGGGAGCATCAGTGTCAGCGCGAACTATCCGTCGACATTTAAATGAAATGAAACGCTATGGCAGGAGACCCAGGAGGACCCCACTGCTGACACAGAGACATAAAAAAGCAAGACTACAGTTTGCCAAAATGTACTTGAGTAAGCCAAAAGCCTTCTGGGAAAACGTCTTGTGGACAGATGAGACCAAGATAGAGCTTTTCGGTAAAGCACATCATTCTACTGTTTACCGAAAACGGAATGAGGCCTACAAAGAACAAAACACAGTACCTACGGTAAAATATGGTGGAGGTTCAATGATGTTTTGGGTTGTTTTGCTGCCTCTGGCACTGGGTGCCTTGACTGTGTGCAAGGCATCATGAAATCTGAGGATTACCAAAGGATTTTGGGTCGCACTGTAGGGCCCAGTGTCAGAAAGCTGGGTTTGCGTCCAAGATCCTGGGTCTTCCAGCAGGACAATGACCCCAAACATACGTCAAAAAGCACTCAGAAATGGATGGCAAAGAAGCGCTGGAGAGTTCTGAAGTGGCCAGCAATGAGCCCAGATCTAAATCCCATTGAACACCTGTGGAGAGATCTTAAAATTGCTGTTGGGAAAAGGTGTCCTTCCAATAAGAGAGACCTGGAGCTGTTTGCAAAGGAAGAGTGGTCCAAAATTCCGGGTGAGAGGTGTCAGAAGCTTATTGATGGTTATAGGAAGCGACTGATTTCAGTTATGTTTTCCAAAGGGTGTGCAACCAAATATTAAGTTAAGGGTGCCAATACTTTTGTCCAGCCCATTTTTTGGGGTTTTGTGTGACATTATGTCATATTTGCTTTTCTGCCTCTGTTTTATATTTGTTCCAATACATACAAAGGGAATAAACATGTGTATAGCAAAACATGTGTTAATGCAATACCTTTTTTGTGTGAAATACTTGATTTTCAGGAAAAATATCAAGGGTGCCAACAATTTCGGCCATGACTGTATGTATATTCTGAGAGCAAGACGCTGTTGTTGTCATAATAAACAAGTCGGCACTGCAGTTGAATGATATTCCTGAAAAGAAAACAGCAATGGTTAACAATAAAACAGTAACTCAATAAAAAAATTTT